TATATATATCTCGTAGCAGGTGTATGTGAAGACTCGACATTCATTCAGCAGGCAGTCTATCTGTTTCTGGGTATTTATATGCATCTACGTACAAGTATATGTTCCAACCTGTGCACATGACCTGCTGAACTTTCAGTGAGAAACTGCTATGAAATTGTACAAGCATCGCACTTATACTCATAGCTGTACTATGGTACAGATATTTTGTGTTAAGTATTGGTAGTGTTCTGTTGCCCCACCCAGAATCACAAAATGTAAATTTTAACGATCAGCAACTTATCACTCACTAGCTCTAAAGTGTCCAAAAAAGCATTAGATGATATTAAAAGATGAACTGCTTTTAATATCATAGAGAAATCACTCTTCACTAATCCTGGTGGTGTGTCCTTTTACACTGAATCGAAAGTACGGCTTGACTCGAGGCTCAGACGCGGCCCACGGAAAAGCGCTCCGTACTATAAACGCAAACTGTGACTTTCAAGCCGTTGTGTTGTGAATCGTTGATAATCACACGCACACTTAGAAATGGTTGTGAGCCAGACTTCCTGACGGGAAAGGGCTATGCTGAACACAGCAAGCATCGATTTGCACCGAAATCTCCTGACAAAGCAGTCTGGTGCGATCACAGGGTCTACCTCGAACGAAGGCTTTGCCTGCGGCTGTGGTGGTATCTGTCATTGCCTCACATATATGCACAATCCTTTTATCATCCCTTGCCAAACGCCACACGCTATAAATAGATCAGCACAGGTGAGACCAAGGGCGATGACTCAGCCGAATCGTCCGAATCGTCCGATTGGGCCGCAGTTCCGCTGAGTAAATTTATTCCTGGGACCGCCTTAGATGATGTTGTGGATGCGCGTTCGTGTCAGCAGCAATGGACAAGCTTTAAAAAGCAGTTGATGGCTGTGGCTAGTAACGAGGTGCATCGAGTTTAGTAGTGAGGCGTGATTGATAGTGCCCGATGCTTGCTCCTGCTATGCTACACAGTTGATATGGGGCTTATGTATCTATGTAACTATGTATCTATATATATATATATATGTATATATATATATATATATATATATATATATATATATATATATATATATATATATNTNTATNTATNT